TCGGCGAGGGAAAGTCGAAAGTTTCGTATCTCCTAAATTTCGCGCGTACACACTCAGCTAACCTTCCGGGGATTGAAGTCTAAAACCCTTTAAATTCCTCCTTTTCTGCATTATAACTCAGCCCGACATCTCGACTACCCAATATATTCGGAGTTTAATGTTACTTGAAAATTCCATGTAGTTGGAAAACGTTGTCAAGAATTAAATTAAAACGTTCAAAGTTTAGTAAATTATGGGTAGCGAACTATAATAAAAGCCGGGAGAGAGAGAGAGTCGGCTATCCCGGCGACTCCTTTAAGTTGTCTCGCCAGCAAGTACTCGGTGTACCGGTAAATTATAACATCCTTATAAAGGTTAAACTGTTACGCTACGGCTTGTAACACCTTCATTTACCGCTGAAATTTACGTCATATTGCTTCATTACTATTCGCAAGTTTCAACACGCCACAAACAACTTGGTCAATATGTTAAGTTCCTCCTTCCACTCATTATTACATACCTACTTTCCTTACGCTTGGTAAAGCCGCAACAGATTCATTGATTGATGATGTTTTATGGCTACAATTCATTGTTTTTTATTACCAGACTAATGAGCAAGGTTTCTTGCAGGAAAATATGGCCTCTTGCTACTCAGTTGCCTGTCTAAAGGGAGCAGAACAAACTCGTCCTTCTTCGAGGGACGAGCGAGCCATTGAAATAAAATTCGAATGAAATTGAACTGGTTTAAATAAGGAAATGTTTGTAAAGAAAATCTACAATTAACGAAATAGGGAGCACAAACAGTCGCTCCATGAAATTAGGGAATTTATGAAACCGATATCGAATGAATCCCTTTCGGTATCTACGGCCTTGTTCCCAAGTGCCTCCAAGGTCTGAAACTTATTGTTTTCTCCCTTCGCGTTCTCTACCCTTCTGTCTTTCGATTTAATCTGATCGCTGGCTATGAAATTTGATTTTATTTGAAAGGTGAATCGGGTTATTGCCTTTTATGGACGCTTCGGACCGGTCAAACGAAAATATCGGAAAAAGAAAAATATATATATTCTTATCGCGACGAAATTTATATGTAAGTAGAGCTAATAAAAAAAAATCGTGCGATCGATATCGAATAGACCGGCCAAACAAAACATAATTTGAATGAGGGCACAACTAAATCTTTATAGTCGCACGTTTATTAACGGGAGACCCCGCCGTTTTATGGCTCTGTTAAAATTTGCTGTACTAGACATAAAAATATTTGGTAGTTAATTTTATATAGTACATACTTACGCGAAATTCTGGAGTTAGTTACAATGTTGAAGTATAAAAACACATTTTTGTATGCTGATTCGATTTAATGTTTAGCTATCCTACTAACTGCGCCAATTACCTGCTAATATTTACTCGTATTGTGATTAAAGCCTTTGCAAATACCACTATGTACACCGTTTTAAAAACCATTAACGACTGATGAAGTTTAGATGAAAAACCGTCGATTGGTATTTTAAAAATATGATTTAACACCTCGTATCTATTAAAACCTGCATGATTTATTCCGAATCGGAAGCGGCTCAGCGCCATAAATAACGTTTTTAATTAAATAAAACACGTTCCATAACTATTTAATATTTATATTTTAGGTTCTAAGGATGTCGCGAATTTCCTTTAACGGAATATTCTAATCTCATTTAACACCTTACACGCTACACCTCTATATACATTAAAGTAATTAAACGCGTTATCGATATCGAAACGATTATGCGAAAAACCGAGCGTTGATATTAATAGTCTTGTATACGCCTCTCGTTACTAATAACATTTGAATTATCGCTGTAATTTTCCCTGCTACATTACGCAGGTCGTATTTACACCGCAAATAGGAATCAGTTTCCCGTCCGACTAAAAATGTATACAAATTTAGAGATCAGTTTTCCGTCCGACTGGACATTACGTTATTTAATAGTTCAGTATACCGTCCGACTACGTATGTACTTACTAATCGCGATACACAAGCAGATCGATTAAGCGGTCGTTTTTTTTTTCATCTTCCGGGGCGCGAGTCCGGAAGTCGTCCGTCACGCGGGGGTCCCCGGCGAAATGACGGGAAGGTCATTTGCAAGACGCGAATCGCAAATAGTTTTTCGGAAAAGTTTAACGTCCGCGACGGGCTGAATGATGTCAGAATCACGCGGAGACCTAATAAATCACTTCGCAGGGACTTCCAGATAAGCCGGTCCGCTCCGCCGCATCCCGACCGACAAAAAATCTGGAACGCCGAACCGGCTAATCAATATTTATCCCGAACTTTCAATCACAACTGCGAGAACCATTAAAAAATCTCCCGTTTCTAGCCGTTTTAAATTCAGTTTTGTAAGGTTATGTTGCGGTTTCACGATCGTACCAACATCTTAATAAAATTTATGTTGGCAGCACTTGACTGGTCTTTTACTACGCTTTCCAGAAGTTCCAGGTTGAATAATTATCTGCTCTTAACATTTCTTATTGCCAACAAAAATGCTTTGTAGAGCGTTTTGGGGGAATTCATTGTAATCATGTACCAACAATGTAATAAAATTGGCAACACTTGATTGGCCTTTTGCTACGCCCGGAGACGGCGACAAAAACTCAATTTTTTTCAATTCGTCTCGGCTCTTATTTCGATATTTATATTCGGATAAATCGCGAAAATAAAAAAAAAGCGGTCGAACGGAATCGTCGAGCAAATACTTTTTCGATAACCAGTATGACAGATTTGACCGATCAAGCGGCGGAACGCGACGTGACAGGCCCTCCGGCGGGCGCTCTCGCCCTCCGCGTAGCCGCTGGATTATTTCTTCGCGTCGGATCAGGCTTTGCACCCACGGCACGGTTTTACTTATTTGTCAAGTCGGGAAAATGCCGTCGCAGGCGCGGCCGGATATAAAGAAGTCGCCCCGGAAAATTGCGATTTTTCTTATTTCGGTTTACCGGCGCCGTTTTTTGCGCGGAAACGGACGTATAATTTCGCATGATAAATTCGAGTTTATCTTAATTCGCGCGCGCTGCGGAATCGAACGGAAAGCGCCGCGTTTTCCATCGCTCGACGGCGGTGTAAAATTTTACGGAGTGAAAACTCGCCGGGCCGGAACATCCCCGTTCTTTCGGCGGCTCGCCGGATATAAAAGATGTATTTAAGCAGTACTTTGGCTGGTTATTCCTTCGTTGCGACAATGTTCAGGCGGCCGTAAAACCTAGCGAAGTACCTCGTCTCGTATTCAACGTTGCTATTTCGGGGAGCTTTGTTTTATCGCGGCCAAAACACTCGCACACTCGCACACACTCGTGCTTTTCTAGCGTTATGAAATACTCCGGGATCTCTGCTAAAGAGTATCTCAGAGAAGGGTTCAATTTATTTATAAAAATTGCCTTTTACTACTCAAATATTCTCTCATTAAATAATGCAGAATAAAAGCTTTTTTCTAATATGCGGTGTTGCTAGATTGTGTCATTTTTCGCAGCTTATAAGAAATTTCATCCAGCAGGCAACGGGATTTGTGTAATGTTTTTCAGTAGCCGTATTCTAAGACCGATTCCTGCGCCAACAATGCCCTTTTAGTCGCGCCCTTCGATGCCCGTTCTGTCAACCGGCTTCGGCCATTAAGCGAATAAATCGCACGTAACAAAGGCCGATTGTTCATAGAAATGCTCCTAGGTAGTTATCTTGAGGTAAATAACGTAATATATAAAATGTATATTCCTCGGTCGGTTTTATCTCTCGGGCTATTTACTTATCGCGACTGATATTGATGGCCCGCAATTAGCTTTATTACGTTTATTTATTAACGTGATTACGGCGATTTTTTCCCGGTTTGGATCTGATTTTAACGTGCCTCAGCTATTCTGTATACTATTAGAAACGTTCATAGCATAGCCCGTGTTTCGGGTCAAGGTAATTCTAACGTCTGTTTACAATGCAGATTCGTTTTTGCCTCGCCCATCAACCCGACTTAATATTAATGATGACGAAGGAAGTATCCCGTAACAAAACAGGGAACCGGCCCGCCATAATGCGCAAAGCTTGTTGGAGATGTATACTATTTACCTTCTTTTGTAGAGGGTAAGCTTTTTTGCCTCGAGTTCTAATTTTACTCCGTGGGTTTACTACTCAAAGGACTACTCTCCCAATGAACAATTTCCCTGGCTCATGTGCTATTTAAAGCATTTTTTGCATAACAAATATCCCTCTTTCGTTATCGAAACTATAAAGTAGAGACCGTGTGTACACCTTATGAATATTAATTACGCCATGCTTGGCGATTAAAAACTAATAACTCATTAAATTCCGGCCCGTCTTCTTGCGAGGCATAAGGGCAGCAGCTCGTTAATAAATCCCCGGGTTACGGGGGGAAACGGGGGAGTTTTCTTCGTCGGGACGCAGCGCGTCGTCGGCGTCCCGGCGCAAAAAGTTAATTAAACGTTGAGGTTGCGTAAACATCAATGCGAATGTGTGTATGTGTGTATCTGATTTCACTTTTCGTTATTCGATAATTCGCACCCGCTGGTGACCGTTTGTTTAGGCTCGGGTCGATGGAATTCGAGATGGTGAAACGGAATAATCCTGATGGTTTTGCTCGAAATTGCACGCGTGGTTTCTGTCTATTAGTAGGCTGGTTGGGGTCTTGTTGGTTGCGCGAGCTCGAGTCGATTGGTGTTTAATAATTGGAAGTAATTAAGCAAAAAATTGGCAATTTTAAGGAATCAAAAATTGTCGAAAATCTTTAAAGTTTTCGATGTATTCACCAACAACAAATTTTGCAACTACCGTACACAATTCTGGACCACCTTATACATACCTATAGAGGTAAATCATTTTTAGATAATCCATTTTAAACCCCAATCTGAATAACCTTCAATCTCTTTAAAAATCACGTTATCGAAATAGCAAATCGCATTGTTTTGGGTACTTACAATTTGATCGATCTGTCTACGTATTTAATCCTTCCGATCTTATCTTAACCCATATAAAATCCGAACAAATTAATCAGACTATTACATTGTGGCAAAATGCGATTATTACAAGTGGTAATTTTATCGATAATCCTCGCCTGTTCTCAAGCCAAACCGCACCCGGGGGACTTCTTCAAGAAGCCCATATTCAAAGATTTCTATGGAGTAATCCACGCCGACATCAAAGACGGCGATGCCGGGGATCCTTTGATCCTCACCCCCTTGATCCAGCAGAACAGAATTAAAGAAGCCCAGGAAGCTTCCGAGGTTGTTCTGGACGATTTTATGGGAGTGAAAAGCTACGCTGGATACCTAACAGTCGATGAAGCTTACGGTTCGAATTTGTTCTTCTGGTTCTTCCCTTCGGAATCCAATTGGGACACGGATCCGGTGATTTTGTGGCTACAAGGAGGACCTGGTGCTCCTTCAGAATTCGGCATCTTCGACGAAAACGGTCCGTTCTACTTCGCTTTGGATGGACAGCTGACATTAAGAAACACCTCCTGGACCAAATCCCATTCTGTAGTATATTTCGACCAACCTGCTGGCACTGGATTCAGTTTCACCAACGGTGGATACGCCAGGAACCAAACCAAAGTGGGCGATGACCTCTACAATGGGCTCTACCAATTCTTCCAGCTCTTTCCCAACCTGCAATCGAACGATTTCTTCATCACTGGAGAGTCCTACGGCGGGAAATATGTACCGGCAACGGCTCACGCCATCCACAGAAGGAACCCCAACGATGAAATGAAAATTAATCTGAAAGGTATAGCCATAGGAAACGGTTTCGTTCATCCCGAATACCAGCTAAGGTACGCCGAATATTTGTACCAGCACGGATTTGTCGATGGAAATACTAAGAAACAACTGGAAGACACAGAAAATAAAGGTACGTAGAATAATTGTATGTAGAGTGAAAAAATCTATAAAATTCTTCGCTTTATCGAAAAAAACCTCTCTTATCATGTAGATGAAATCAGTAATAATCAGAGATTAATTCATTTAATTGTAACTAAATAAAAAGATCAAAAATCATCAGAATTCCCGCCTTATTTAACTTCTATTTCATCTAATAACTTTATCATCAGCTGTGGAGCAGATCAAACAGAAAAACTGGAAAGCCGCAGCCGAACTTCTTAATGTCGATTTGGACAACATAGGCGACAACATAGACATACCTAGCATCTACAACTACCTTTATCTAGTAACACCAGTAGACGTTGACACCTACATGGACGCCTTCCTAGCCAGAGAAGACGTCAGACGAGCTTTGCACGTGGGAAACACCGTTTACAACGACGGCAATGTATATGATAACCTATCACAGGACATACCAAAGTCCATCACGCCTTGGTTGAGCGAGCTCCTGAACCACTACAGGGTGCTTGTGTATAACGGACAGACGGATATCATTGTAGCCTATCCCATGACGGTAGAATACGTGAAAAATTTGAACTACAGCAGCGCTGAGGAGTACAAAACGGCAACCAGGCGCACGTGGAAATATGGAGAAGATGTGGCTGGTTATGTCAAATCGGCTGGTAATTTGACAGAGGTCATGGTGAGAAATGCCGGGCATATGGTGCCCACAGATCAACCTGAATGGGCTTTGGATCTTATCACGAGATTCGTCAAAAACGACCTATGAAAGGCAAATATGAAGAGTTGTTATAAAAGTATAAAGTATTGTTAAATTTGATAGTTTGTTGGACGTAATAATAAACATTTTTAATTACTTTAATTTAACTTAAAAGAAGTTATTGGCATATAACGGAGGTAGTTGCCCCTATATACCTACATAGTACAATAGGAAAATTATGATTTCATATAGTAACACGTACCATGTTGAATTCAAACTCGACCTTTCTCAAGTTTGTTTATTCGACTAAAATTTCCGACGTTTACCTACCGAATACAACGGTCTTCGTTGACAAGATACGTAGTTTTAGTAATTTCCGTCCTATTAATGTTGTTGTTAACTTTATTAAACCGTGTCACTCCGTTCGGCCGTTGTTCCCCTTCTAACGAAACGCGACCATAAACCCGGGCGAACTTGTCGAAGTTGATTAACTTCAGAATGCTTTGTTTGCGCTACCTGGAAATTCCTTAATTTTACAACAACGAAGCAATTATAAGTTTTCCTTACGTAGGTGCTCGCACGTCAATTACACCACTGTTTGCTCCATAAATACCGAACGCGACAATGCTAGATGATTTATTGGAGACTATTGGGTGCTTAATTAAAAAGTATATACGGAGTACATACCCTTGAAGATCTAATTACATATATTAAAAACAAAAACAACATGTTTTGTTTGTAATTATACTTGTAGAGGGTGTTAATTAATACTACAGGATGTGAATATTTGGATGATTTTAAGAAGAAATATGTCCTAAACCTCTTAGTTTTCGAGCTACAGGGTACTTTTCTATCATAATTTTCTTATTACTCCAGATATGTTTATGGAAGAGTAAATTAGTTAGAGTAGTTTATAAGGAAGAATAATTATATTATCATTTTTTATAAAAAAGAGCAAGTATCATTTGGTAAAATAGAGAGTAAGTATACATGACGTAAGAGTACACTGGGTTGCCTAAATTCAGAAGTCATAATAGTTTGTGTATAAATTTTTATAATTAACAAGCATGGGATAAATAGTTGAAGCGGTATAGGTGAAAAGTATTCGGGAAAGTGGCGCTTTGTGTGTAGTTGTAAACTTCTCCCGTCGAGATTTTCCCGAATCCATTTGTCAGCGCGGGCCGTCGGGTGAATTGCAAACAAACCGAAAGGGGTAGCGGGTGTGCATTACACGTAATGTTTCGAATAACTGGCAGGCGAACTTAAATCGCCTGCGGACGTGTCCTGAATACCGACGGGAAAAGTAAAGGAATATATACACTTTTCCGACGAAAATTACGCCGGAACTATGGTCAACTCGAGTTGTTCGGTTCGCGTGTATGCGATAAATTTTCCGGGGGAAAATTACGGAACCTCTTCTTCCCACAGCGTTATATCTGGCCATTATATCGCTCGGATTTGCTTAATTTCGATTTTTCTGCCGGCCAATTCGCGGTTGAATAAGACGAAATTCGATCGAGCGGTAAATACAAATTGCGTTTAAACGTTAGCAGGTGTTCGAACGGTTCTAATGGCTCGATAAATTCTCGACGAAACTGTTAAGAAATCACGCGAAAGAAAAAAAAAACCGACGCCAAGGTGCGCCCGATAACCATAAATTGGCGAACGTTCTTTTTTCCATTTCGCCATTTTACGTATATTCGCGTGCACACCGGTTGACCTTATGAATTAAGAATGCCTACTCGAGAAGGCTCTACATCCGAGAATATCTCGCAGGGAAACAATGTAGTCACTTTCGAGTGCCAGCGTTGAATAAATCCCTTGTCAACTTCGCATCGGATTTTTAAAGTACAAATAAAACATTATCCCTCATGCATTATTTCACCAAATATATACTTCTTGTAAACCCCTAGATGATCTCTATATAACGTTAAAATATCGCCTCTTTTAGTAACGAATCACCCTGTATACATATCCCTGAACGCATTCTGATAGCTCTTTCGCATCAGTTTTTCAGCTATATTAATAAAGTTTTCGGCGCGCCCGATCGGATGTAAATTCCTCGCGCGAATTTTCCGCGCTTTTCTTTCGCCGGTAACGACCTTGTTAAACGCGGAAAGTGTCGCTAATAAAACGGACGTCGGTCGAGCCAGTTCGGCCGGACGCTAATCGGAAAATGGACAAAAGCCGGGGCCGGATAAATCGCGGAGTTTTTGGATCGCCGTCGCGTGATTACCGGCGCTCCGTTAAATGGGATTCCAAGGATAAACGGGCGATTTAAAACGCCACCTTATCCGATCCAATCTGATCGGAATTTCCACTTGACGCGCGGACTTGTTGATGGTAAGTTACCGACGAAATCGCGCTCAATAAATTGAGCGTTAATCGCTTTGTATTTGGTCCATTTTGAGATGAATTGATTCAAGTAGTAAAGCGCCCCACTCTCCCCTAATCCTAAATAAATACAGAAAAGAAGATGATGATTAGGTAGCTTTTAGCTGGCCCCGCGTGCATTTTATTAATCCCAAACGCCCGTACGAACGAAACTGGAGCGAACTAACGTAAAAACCGTCGTCGGAATTAACAGTCGCGTCGCTCCTGATTCTCCTGAAGAAATCAATGGAAGACGAAACGCTGTACGCGGAGAGAGTTTCCATCCAGCCGGCTCGGAGTTGCTGCAAGGATGAACTGCATAATGTCGGGAGATGGTTTGCTTCGAGCAAAAACGTTGCCGGAATTATAAGGAAGCTCGGTCTGTTCCGGACAATTTCCCGGTACACTTGGCACTTTGCCCTTTCATTTCTCCGTGTATACAATGCGCTGAGGACGGCGAGTTAGTTTGAAACGTCGACAATCGGTCAACTACGTTCGCGTAATGAAAGACTCGCCGTGACTAAATAACAGCAGGAATGGCAGTAGCTGGTTATTTTTTTTTATTCGCGGTTAATTTGTTTTGAACAGGGTGTTCTAGAAATGTCTATCGAAACTTAGTGTAATCTATCTGAAAAATATCTAACAAATAAGATTAAAATTCATATTTTTTCTGACTACCCGTTAATTTCAAATCTTCATAAATCGTGCGAATTGAAATCGCAAAAAATTAATAGATATTATATTGGTGTAATTCCTCGCGCGTCCCTTTATTACAAATTCTTGCGCTCGTATAAGGTATTCAATATTGTGTGTATCGCATGGGAGATAAAAATGAAAAATACTTCACGGATATTGAATTAATTCGGCGATATTAAAGCGATACATTTTGTTCTCACTACGGCCCTTCAACTTCTAGTTACGCTCTTCGTCTTCGTCGCTTTTATTTTTTTTTCCCGTCCGCCTCGGCCCGGATATGAGATTTTACTCTAGAAAACGGCTTTAATTCGGCAATAAAAAATTCAAATTACCAGGAAGATTATTATTATTATTTAGCGCATTTTTGTAGACTATTTAGCGCATTTTTGTAGACTATTTTGCGCATTTTTGTAGACTATTTTGCGCATTTTTTGTAGACTATTTTGCGCATTTTTTGTAGACTATTTATCGCATTTTGTCCAGGTTCTATTTATGGCATTTCTGCCGACTATTTACGCTTTTTTTGGTAAATTCTGGATATCAGGGGATCGGCGCAACAATTCTCTTCGGGAATAAATGCCGGTCCAATAAAGATCTAACCCGGAGATGCGGCGGTTGATTGCGCTTTTCCAATATCAAACTTCCAAATATCATTTCGGTCGGGCGAGCTCGTGCACTGCATTATCTCCGTACAGGACCTGCTCGATGCAGGGGAGAATACGAGGCAGAGGAGCACCGGCGCACCGGGCATCATATTATTCGATGATTTATTTCTCGCCATTAGTTGTTTCCATTTGAAGCTATATTCGGTCGTTCGAGATAAATTTTCAAAGGAAATGGAACGACTTGGGTTCGGGAATTGATATAACCCTCTATCTTTCATCTCCATTCACTGGCCGTATTTTTAGATATTTTTTATTGCAAGAAGTTTTATAAATATTTTAAAAATCTTACGGTATACAGTGACTCACTGGGGATACTCGAAAGTAGGGTAATGAGTCAACACATTCGCCTAGAAAAACCCTTATACAGAACTCACTTCTATATAAAGCAATTTTAATTAGGGAGCGGAGAGAGACTAAATTAAGTATAAGAGCTTGTAAAACATTTACAGAGATATATAACCTCGTTAGTTGAGTTTCCGACCATTTTTTACGAGATATAAAACAAAGAATGCCCGCTTAATTCGATATCGCCCAAGAAAGATATGGCACACAATTAATTCTATTTACAACATTCCTGAATTAAATCTACTACGTTAAAACGTCGAATAACAAATTAACCGAGACCATTTTGTATTAAGAAAAATGTTTCGCTCATTTCTATAATAGTACAAGGGCTTTCTAGAAAATTGGAAAATTTATTAACTTAAAATCTCTCATATTCTACATTGACAACTTTTGGATAACTGGTAGATAATTATTGTTCGGTAGATTTTTGTTTTGTATATAATTTATAGATCTACAGATAAGTGTTCTGTAAATAAGTGTTCTATAACTGTTGATAACTGTAGATAAGTGTAGATAAGTGTAGATAAGTGTAGATAAGTGTAGATAAGTGTAGATAAGCGTAGATAACTATAGATAAGTGTAGATAACTTTAGTGGAGATATTTTTTCTGCGCATCTTCCGAATATATTTCCCCTTTTAGATCATCAGCAGGATTTCAATATACAATTACATTAGAGTTTGAAGAGCAATAGAAAAATTTCGTACAATGGGCGGGCCATTAGCCGAATCCGATACGCGACAAAACAGGCAGTATTTCGATAATAGCGCCCGGCCGAAATTTTCCCCGAGAGCGCCTTTTATCGGAAAACGACATAAACACGTGTCCTTTGACGTCGGTAACACGCCATTCATTGCTCGAATTATCCCACTATCGAGGCCCCGACTGTAATGTACCTATACCAAATCCTGCGGGAAAATACAATAAATGAGCGCTTGTTAAGGGAAACCCCTAAATCTTGTGTCTATAACAATCAGAATTACTGTTATTGTACACAGGGTTTTTTCGGAAATAAATGGTCAAACTTTGGGAGCAAGTAGAGAACCTCAAAATATGACAAAACTTAAATGTCGTCAAATTTTGAG